GCCGGCACCCGCCACGCGCGCCGCCCACCGCCGCCCGGCGCGCCGCCTGGCGCGCCCGCCGCGCGCGAGGGGCGGCTGCTCATGGGCAAGTGTCAGCGCGTGCGGACCGACGCGGCGGGGAACGAGCTGTCTTGGGCGCGCGGGGGGCGGGGCATGCCATACGACATGATCTACGGCCCCCAGGGTGGCTGGTGCACGAGCGACAGGCCGATAGTCCGCTGCGACTGCGTTTTGGACGGGTACGACGGCCTCACATGCGAGGTGCGCACGGAGACGTTCTGCCCGAACCAGTGCGGCGGCCGCGGCGAGTGCGACCGCGGGTGGTGCAGGTGCCTGCCCGGGTGGTTCGGGCTCGACTGCTCGCGGCGCGCCGCTTGGGCGGCAGAGGAGCCGGCGGCGGCGGCAGCGGCAGCGGCGGCGGCACTGACAGCTGTGGCGGCGGCGGCGCCGGGCGTAGGCAGCGGCGCCACCGCCAACGCAAGCGCGGGGCAGGCCGCAGGTGGGGCCAGGGGTGTCATGACAATACTCACTCAAGCGGACGCGCCCAGCCCCTACCCGCCGCCCCCGCTTGCGCGGCACCGCGCTTGGCTGGTCAAAGTCACGGTTGACCAATGGGCGCGCAGCCAGCCGGCGGCAGCACCGCACGCAGACTGGTCGGCCCAGGGGCCGGAGGGCGAGGCCGCGGCCGCCGCCGGCCAGGTGGGGGCTGCAGGCGGCGCGGCGGCGCCGCACACGGGCGCCGCTTTGACCGCGGCTGCGCCTGCCACCACGGCCAAGCCACAGACGGTGGCAGAGACGAACCCAGGAGTGACGCCAGGTGTCACGGTCCCTGTGGCAAAGCAGGGCAAGGCCGCTGCCGCCGCTACTGCTGCTGCTCCTGCTGCTGCCATGGTTGCATCACCAGTGCCACCCAAAACCGCAGCTACCAAGCCGGCAGCCTCGGCGGCCACGAAAGCGGCGGCGGACACGGCTGCGGCGCCTGCGTTGACAGCAGTCGCGCCGTCGCGCGCGCTTCTGGGGAACGCCGGCGCGCCTGCGGCGCCCGGGCGGTCGCTGCTGCGCCACTTCCGCTTCGCCGGCGGGCGGCTGGAGACAGAGGCGGCGGCGGCTGTGACGGCAGGGATGCGTGGCGGCACCCACCTTTGGCTGGACCGCATAAGTGGCGGCGGCGGTAGCGGCGGCGGCGGCAGCGATTATGAGCCCTCGTGGGACTTGCGGGATGAGCCGATCGCAGCTGGCGGGGAGCAGCCTTTGGCTCGGGCGGCGGCGGGCTCCACAGTGCAGCCCGAGCTCCAGAAGCAGCAGCACCGGCAGCAGCACCAGCAGCAGCAGCAGCAGCAGCAGCAGCAGCAGCAGCAGCATGGGTTGGCCGCACTCCTCGCTACCGGCCCCCAGCTCCGCCTGCGCACGCTGCTGCGCCACTTCCGCATCGGCGGCGGCGCGCTCGAAGTTGAGAGCGCCGCCAACGCCGCGCTCTCCGACCTCGGCCCGGAGGAGGGCGAAGAGGAGGGCGGCGGCGACGCAGAGGATGCGGAGGCCGGGCGGCTGGGGGGCGGAAGTGTGACGGACGGGATTTTGGCGGTGGACGAGATGGAGCACCTGCCGCAGGGGCTGGGGGCCGACCACAGGATGCACGGGTTTGGTGCGGAGAGCGACTACGAAGCGGACGAGTACGAGGACGGCGGCGGCGGCGGCGGCGGCGGCGGCGGCGGCGGC